CCCTCACGACCTGAACTCCGGCGCGTCCGACGTCGAGCTGAGCCCGACTTCGAAGTCCTTCTCGAGCGGCCACAGCATCGGCAGCAACGACTCCGACCACTTGAAGGCCCCCGCGGCGGCGCTGAGGCTAACGGCCCACTCCACGTACAACCTGCGGACGTCCTCCCCGACGGCGGGAGACGACCAGCCGTCCTCCCTCATCCACTGCCCGACGGCGAGTCCCACGGCGCTGTCGGCTCTCTTCAGGAAGCGGAGCATGAGTGACGAGACGCTGTACAAGGCAAGTCCATTTTTTGTTTATTATTATCTTTTAATTCCATGTTATTATTCTCGATGTTTATTAACAGAAAAAATCAGTGGTCATATTGTACCTAGTATTACACACAAAACCCCATGCAGACCTATCTAATTTTTGGTGTCATAAAACAGGGCGCGAGGCACGGCGAGGAGCCTATTTATGCCACGCCCATTTTCACAAGTAACAAGGGGTCTTCTGGACATTCAAGGCAGAGAGAGCTCCACTACATGGTAAGCTGAAGTTGGAGTTCATTGCAAATATTGAGGATATTGTTGTTTGCTGTTGTTTAGTTTATCAGTTATTTGTGGTAGTGTTGTAATGGTTTACTGTTAGTGATTGTATATTGATTGTATTTGTACTGTACAGATGAGTATATTCGTGAACATGCACGCGTATTCAAGCACGCACTCTCACTCACTCACTCACTTAGTTAACACACACACACACACACACACACACACACACACACACACACACACACACACACACACACACACACACACACACACACACACACACACACACACACACCGGTAGTATTGCCCTCCTATATTCTTTTGAATTTATAATTATTATCTCCTGAAATAATGTAATTTCTATTAACACCAGAATTAACCATTTGCAGCGAAGGAGAGCCAGACTACTTGAAAATAATTGGTTTCAGATCCATTAATCTTTGCTATTAACAAAAAAGATCAGGTGTAGGGGAAAGTAATTGTATTTAGTGATAAAATGCTTATTTATCAAAAGTTTAACATGACTTGGGTAACAAGTTGCAACGGTGGCAGAGCACTTTTACTAAAGTCGAGGAGAGAAATGTCTGCAGATATCTAGAATTTCGTAACCAAACGCCTTTGACGCCATCATTAATAAAGTAATGAATAATATCTCTTTTTCGGTAGACGTCAAAGATATATATATATATATATTTTTAGTAGACGTCGTTAGAAGAGTTTTCCAAATTTAAGTCTTCAATTTTTCTAACCACTAACCATAACTATGTGCTTTTTTCACCCCGCCCTGTACCTGTCTAGTGTTCCATACTGTTCTCGAACGACGAGGAGGCAGACGGAGGCCGCGACGGGGCGAGGTGCCGGAGGAACAGCCGAGGAGGAGGAGGAGGAGGAGGAGGAGGAGGAGGGGCAGGAGGAGCGTCAGGAGCAGATTCCTCCGCCGACGGAAGCAAGAACCGCGCGGGGATCATCTCCGTGTGGAAGAGGGAGTTCCGGCAGAGCTGCAGACACGTCCAGAACAAGATTAAGAAGTCGGTCATCAGATAGTCGGAGTGTTTTTGTTTGTGTTTTTGTTTTTTGAGTGAGTAGGTGGGTGGGTAAGTGGGTGGGTGGGCGGCCTGGCTTGAGTCAGTGATGTGATGGGGGATACCAGTTGCTGGGATTGTGAAAATTTGATTAGTTGTTGCAGCTAAAATGTATTTGGTATTCTGATAAGTGTATATATATATATATATATATATATATATATATATATATATATATATATATATATATATGTATATATGTATATATAGATGTATATATATGTATATATAGATGTATATATATATGTATATATATATGTATATATATATATATATATATATATATATATATATATATATATATATATATATATATATATATATATATATATATATATATATATATATATATATATATAGATGTATATATAGATGTATATATATATGTATGTATATATATATATATATATATATATATATATATATATATATATATATATATATATATATATACATATATATATATATGTGTATATATATATATATATATATATATATATATATATATATATATATATATATATATGTATATATATATAATCAGAAAGATAAAAAGGAGTCTGTCAGTGCTATTGAATTTATGCTTCCAACATTTTGAATATTCGTCTAATGATGCTAATTATTCAGGTTCCAACGTGGCTTACATTTGCTTGGAAATCTGTGATGACCTACATTGTATAGTGATAAAAAAATTATGTTGTAAGACATAATTAGACCAAAGTTAATGTTAGTGATTACGGTACGAAGAATCTCTATGGATAATACTCTAGTAGCTGAAAGCAAACACTATATTTATGCACTCAATAGAACACTCAATATTCCGCTTCCTTAGTCAAACGTAAATTATTGTCCGTGAGATGTGTTAGAGGGTTTCTTAAGCATCTACCTCCAATATTGTATCTACATAGCCCGTGTGAGGCGCCGGGGCATCTACACCTGGCAGACACACTCCTCTCTCTACCTACCTTTATACCTTTAACTTGTACCTTTAACTCTTTGTTTTGTGCGATGACAGTGACCCTTACTGTTCCACCACCTGTAGCTTGGTGATTGGTTGTGACACAGGATATTATGGAAGGCTTATTCGTGGTAATGATTTTTTCCTTTTCTCTTATTTTTTTCCTCTCTATTTTGATTTTTTTTTTTTTTTCTTTTTTTTTGAAGAGGTTATTAGTGGAAATTAGTTTTCCCATTTCTCTTGATTTTTTCCCCCTCTATTTTGATTTTTTTTAAAGAAGAGGTTATTAGTTTTTTTTTTTTTTTTTTTTTTTTTTTTTTTTTTTTTTAGAAGAGGAAATTCATCCAGGTGTGGGTGACTCACAAGCTACCTGTGATTCTGGAGTGATTAGGTTTTGTCACACAATCGAGTAATACTTTGGATTGAAGCTTATACTAATAAGTATAGAAAAAAGCGATGGTACTTATGAACATTTTTTTTTTTGAAGAGTCAGGCCATAAAATGAGAAGGTGGATTTTTAAATACATCACTCTTTAATCGTCTAAATTAATGGCGTTTTGAGTGATACGATTTTTTATGCAGTGTAGAAATTTTAGAATCCCTTTTTTTATCATGGCCATCCTGTTTTTATAATTGTATTTTAGGAATTTTATACCGTGTGAAATGAAGGAATAACATGAACATTTTCGAAGAATATATTTCTGAAATGTCTTCTTGTGAAACATGTTTCTCATTATATGATCTGATATGTATCGTCTGTAAATAAGCTAAAGCAAAATAAATTTATGTAAAATAATTCTATTATTGATGCTTGACATTAAAAAAACAAACATTAGTCACTGATCATACTTAAGCTCTTAGTGTTCTTATATATATTTTATTTGTTTAAAAGTATGTAAATCGAGTTTGAATAACATGACTCATGTAAAGAATTGAGTACCATTAAATTATTTGTATTGTTGTTGACTTGAATAAATTGTTATAAATATCTGTATATACAGGGTAATAAAGCTTGATTTTATTACATAAGGTGGAAGGTGAAAGACCTGTGCCTGAAGGGATAATAAAACAATAATTTTTTTATGATGGTTGTTTTCTTGTAACCCACGAAAGAGTTTGCAGACACGTACATTGCACTATTACTTTAGAACCACCATGGTTGTCTTTCAGTCAGTGGAGAATATTTCTGGATATTGAGAAAATTTAGTTCTGGAATATTTTTGTCTCTCGCCCGGAAACCCATAGTAGAGTTTACAAATAAACAAAGGACATAGTCACGGTAAAGTCATGTATTTTTTTTTTTAATTAATGGAGAATATTTCTGGATATTGAGAAAATTTAGTCATGGAATATTTCTGTCGCTCTTCAGGAAACCCAGAGTAGAGTTTACAAATAAAAGTAGGAAGAAGTCACATCAAAACAATTTAAAGGAAGAATATTTCTGGATATTTAGAAAAAAAGTATCATGGAATATTTATAGCGCCTGGAATACGAGAAAACTACATGGCTTTTAAGAAATTCATGAAAATAGTTTGTATTTTTTTATTATTTTTTAAATGCACAGAATTTCAGCATATATTCATCCATGGTTTTTAATGGCACCTTTATTTAGTCCGTGAAAATCCATCAACAGTAAATTACAAGGTGTCATCCAAAGAAGGCAGTACTACACATCAGTTGCATAACAAGCCTACAGCTTCTATCAAGTACAGTTATTTTTTACTGCAGCGCCAGTAGAGCAGTTGATTCTCCCCAGCAGCCAAGTGTGGTCTTAACTACTTCATCCACCGACAACATTCCTAGAACAGGAACCAGAAGCGACAAGCACAGCAAAAGGACAACAGGTATTCACCGGAAGGTTATTTACGTTCCCACTGTTGATCTGTAGTTTAAGATAAGGTAACTGCAAACAGGTAATTGTGTATGTGGGTTAACTGGTATCTGTTGCAGTACTGGTATATCTATAATTGCTGAAAAGCCTGAAGAGTTGCATAAGAATGTTATTCAGGATGAACCTAGTGTAAGATCTAGAAATGATTATGCTTGGAAGAGTTTACATTGATATAAAGAATAGATTAGATGATCTAGAATTTAATCAAATTAAGGAAGCTAGGATTTCACTAGTAATAGTTTGAAGCTGTACAGAATGCCTATGATAGATATGAAGCTCTGGAGCCTTCTAATAAATTTTCAGATCAATATATTAAATGTGAGGAAGACACACAAAGGCTCGTATTTGATATCAGAGAAAGATCAAAACGGTTTTTACAAGTTACAGGTAGTACTAGGAGTAGTGGACATTCTAGTCATTCAAGTATTTCTTCATCAAAAAGTAAGAAAGAATTAATTGAGAAGTTAGCAAAATTAGACTTAGAAATGTTGAAGGTCAAAAATGAAATTCAAAATGTAAAACTAGAAGATTCAGGGATTGAGAGTAAGCAAGATTATGCAAGGAGGTATGTGGAGTCCCATCTGAAAACATTGCCACACCGTACGCATTCTGTATCTGAGAGTAAAGTTAAATCAAATGAAGAATATGGTGCATTGTAAATTAGTAAGAAAAAAGATTTGAGAGAGAGAGACTAAAACCTTGACGATGAATATGCGAGTAATCAGAATCCTAAAGTAATTCATAGTTAATCCAACAGATGAAAGAAAAGGATGCTATCCAACAATTAGCTGAAATCCTTTGTGCTAGGCAAATTAGTGACTCGCTTCCTAGGCCTGAACCAGAAGTCTTCAAAGGTGACATACGTCAGTATTCAATATGGGTTAAGTCATTTGAGACTTCAATTGAGTCAAAAACTAAAGTGGCAGCTGATAGAATGTATTATTTAAACAAATATACAGATGGAGAAGCGAAAGAAGTTATAAGCGGACTTTTGTTGTTAGATACTACTGAAGCTTACAGTATAGCTAGAAAGCTTTTAAAACAAAGATTTGGCAATGCCTTTGTAATTGCTAATGCATATAGAGAGAAATTACATGAATGGCCAAGGATTCCTCTGAGTGATGGACCAGCTTTGATGAAATTTTCCGATTTCTTGGAGACATGCAAGACAGCAATAAGTAACATTCAGTATTTGAATATATTGAATGATCCCAAAGAGAATCAGAGAGTGTTACAAAAATTCCCACAACCTATAGTTGAAAGATGTATAAAGCCCGTAAACTTGATGAGAGTGATGATGGCTTAATATAGTCAGCAGAATTTCCCTCTTTCACTAAATTTTATACATTGTAAGAAAAGAAGCTTCAAAGGCATGCAATCCAATAACTTCAATCACTGCAGTTCTAAATAAAGATGTTAGAGGTAATGTAAATGTAAATGTACAAAAACAAAAGTCAAGGTCAGTGAAGAGCTTTGTCACAGAAACCAATGAAATTAATATTAAAATGAGTGACAGCAGTAGATTTGCTTGCGCATTTTGGCCAGCTACATAATCTTAATAACAGTAATACGTTTTTAAATCCGGATTTTAAAGACAAAGGGAATTCTGTTGATAAAAACAAATTACGTAGATGTTACCTAAAGGGAGGACACATATCAAGATATTGCCGTCAACGGAGCAAGTGCAAAACTTGTAATAGGTTACATCCTATTTCTCTCCATGAAGTGATGTGTGATTGCACCATAAAAGTGACGAGCAGAAAAAAGTCTTGGTGTATGCATTATTTGATGATCAGTCTGATGTATGTTTTATTAAAAACAGTGCTCTAGGGAAGTTAGGCATTGGTGGAACAAAGGTTCATCTAAGATTAGCTACTATGAATGGTGAACAAACTGTTACATGCTCTAAAATTTGTGGTCTAATTGTAAAGGGTGTGTATGAAAATATAGATATACTATTGCCTCATACTTATTCTAGAAAAGTAATTCCTTGCAGACGAGATCAAATACCAAGACCTGAAACTGCCAGAGGTTGGCCACATTTGGAAAGAATAGTAGAGAAACTGATGCCTTACAGTGATGATGTAGAAGTAGGACTCCTGATTGATCTCAATTGTATTAAGGCAATTAAGCCAAAGGAAATCATTACTGGCAAT